TGCAAAACGAAAACACCAAGCAGTGCTTTAAAAACAAAGAGCCTATCGAACATCTGGCATTGTTTTAGAGTGCCAGCAAATAGGGCCTCTTCAATTATTGCTGGAGTAATACTGAGCAGTTGAAAGAATGTGTCATTCGGTGGGAAATGTTTGCCAAACTGACTTGGTTTAAACGAGCTGGTGCGATTCCGCGAAGCTTGACAGCTATATGGGCTCGCTGGGAGACTTTTAACCTTCCTAACAGTTGACAGGATGACAAGACTGAAGTGACAACAGTGATATAGAAAATAAAAAGGGAGTGGATCAGTGTGTGTGTGTGTGTGTGTTTGGGTGAGTGTTCGGGCCATGTGAGTTGTGTCCACTAAGTTTCTGCTTTTGTCTGCGAGAGTGCTGAGAGCGGCAGTGATTGGCGTGTCCTCTACGCTTGATTGATTTGAAAATATAGACAAAGCGTTGCCCGTATGAAAGCCTCCAATTTATAAGCCTTCATTTCAACACCGGTGCCATCGGAATCAGAGCCAGAGTTTGTAGCTACAAATGGTTCAGAAGCAGAAAAGCCGTGCAAAGTGACACCTCGCAAAAGACTGCCTGCTAGCTTTATGAAAACCCCTATTTGTATTGTCTTCTTGTCTCTTTCTCTTTGACTTTGTCTCTTTTTTTGCTTGTTCTTTTCTCTGTTTGTCATCCAGCCATCCATTGTCACTTCCTGCATTTGTCTAGTGTTTCACTTTCTATTTGTCTTTGCTTCTCATCTCTCTCTCTCTCTGTTTTGCGTGGCCGTGATGAGATTCTCTGGAGGTTAACTCGTCCCACAGCTTGCTGTGAAAGGAATGACCTTGATGTAGCTCACATACGGTTTCTTTTCATATCCCTGTTTGTCTTCTTGTTTGTGTTTCTCTGTAATCACTGAATTGTAAAACTACATGTGAGCGATTATGATACGGGTTTTCTTTTTTTTCTTTTTTTTTTCAGTCTGTGATAATTCTGTTTGGCAACTACAGCTCCATGCCACGTCAGGAGATGGGCCTTCTAGAGGCACACGGAGGTACCATTAAGATAAAGCAAATTGCCAGCTTCAGAGCAGAAACTGTCACCATGCAGATAACAATGACTGTTTGCGTCTATGTGCACGGGCTGCACATTTCCTGTGTATTTTCAGGTGTGTGCTTAAAACTGTGGTTTCTAAATGATACACTTCCTCCTTGTTCAGGCAGAACTTCAGCCACGACTTTCCATAAGTCAAAGTCCACAAGTCCTTTTTTTATTCCATAACAAGTCGCAGAGCCATTTTCTCTGGCCTATAACTATACTGCTGTGATGAGACAAGCAGCTTTAATTAAAATCAATAGCCAGGACTTTCCCCGTCTCTGGCAAGGTCACACATCTCCCAGCAGGGAGAAGAGGAAACAGAAAAGTGGGATTTCACGGATGGACACAGCCAAACCGAGAAATATGTAAAAAGGTGAGGCATCATCATATTTTAATTAACCTGTACCTTGGAGGGCTGGTACTACAGCAGTGCACCAGTGTGTGCGTGTGTGTGTTTGGGGCTGGGGGTTAGAACACATGAAACGATTGGTTCGTCCTTCCCAGTATACGAACTCAACACCCATATATTATCCAATTTTATGAACAGTTTTTCTCAAAAAAAAAAAAAACAGATCAGTTTAAACTCATTTTGTTATGCCTTTGTTCTGCTTCGTCTTTGTCCGGCTTTGCAGACTTTAAAATAACACTGGTAAGCTGGCTCCAGTTGGCAGCTGGGGTGTGGTATAGCTAGCCACTAGCTGCATTAGTATTCTGCAGAGATAGCCACATGCAGAGACATTTTCTTTTCTCTATCTCTGAAGGAATAATCAGCTTGCCTTTCACTTCTTTATCCCTATAAGAGGCTGAGTGATTTAGATTTTTATTTGTACCTACAGCAATGCCTTCAAGGGCTTGAAAATGTATGTGTGGGTGTTCTCTATACTGTTCAAAAAAAATCCAAAGTGTCACCTTCCTCTTCAGGGTGAGTCGGGGAGAAGACTTGACTCTGTCAGAGTTAACATTGAGCAGTCCGTCTTGTTTGCTGATTATCAAGACCAGTTTCTATCTCGGGCCCCGATAGCATCTTCATCTGATCTGTTGCCAGAGTCGCAGACTCACCACCCAACCCTGCCATCGCCGAGCTGCCGCTCGCCTGGCCACCGCCCATTCCCGTATATCTTTTTATCAGTCCAGATCTGCCGTCACCCTGCTTTCTCATCTTCCCCTTATCTTCTTATTTCACCTTTCTCCCAGTTCCCACTACGCCAAACCCAGCAATCATTCATCTTCATCATTCTTTTCCCCTCCTCCACTTTTATCCTGCACTGTCATGGAATCTTTTTCTCGTGTTGTACGAACATTTACAAGTCAGTGAGTGATGGAATAAGACCAGACATTTGAAGAGACACAGAAAAAAAAGATTTAAAAAGAGGAAGCAAATTGGAAGCAAATACTGTCACTAGAGTTTCTAATAAATTATTCTCTGTGTGTTTTGACGAGGAGACAAAGATGGATCGATGGAGTGTGTGACAGCACAGTTCTGTAAACTGCAGCAGCAACATCCTGAACCCTGTTGGTTGTTGCAGGAGTCAGTCCGTTTTGTGAAGCACCAGAAAGAACAAACAGAACATACATGACAGAACAGTTCAAATCTTACAATCACTTTACCCTGGCTGAATATAATAACATCAAATAAAATATTTTTAGCATCACTGCCTCCTTCTGTCATTGATCAAACAACCGGTTGGATGGCGATCACCTGTCTTTACCACTTTTAGTAAATTCTCCCACTGTGACTGCAGACCTCTAACCCATGCTTGGCACAGATGTTCCTGTAAACTATTCCAGCCACTTGATGATGTTGTTCCATGCACACTTTGACTCCTGCATCTCACATCTTTTTGTTATTGCTGGACTCTCTCAGGACCACTATTAGATCTGGATCTTGGGTCATGTTTGCAAAAATAAAAAAATAAAAAAATAGTGCCTCTTTGCTGTCCTGTCCAGTCTTTTCTATTTACTGGTAGGAACTTGTTTATATCAGCCATATTCTCAGGCTGTTGATGGTATACTGTATGTCAAGCAGTGGCTCATTGATGGCTCCACTAGTTCTTCCTCTTTCATATTCGGCTTCTGCTGCTTGAGCCAATCACTTAGCAGTTCATTGCTGGATGTGTTCTTCGTGGTTTTGTCATGATTTGTTAGTTTTATTTGTAGTCATTCTGTACTGCATGATTAGGTTTATTTAGATTTTCTGATTATTCTTGCATTTTCATTCTTCCAGCTCCCGTATGTCCCTTTGTGCCAACATTCACCCTCCCTCAGTTCAGTTTGTCGGTCAGCCTGCCACGCTCGCTCTCACCTGTTCCCGATCTCCATTTAGCTCAGGTGTCTTCAGTTTCCTCATCACCCCAGTCCTATGTATTCAGTCTCTTTCCATCTCCACCTCAGCAGATCGTCTATATCATTCACTTCAAGCTCCTTGTGATTCTCCTGAGTTTGTGCAAGTTTGCTGCCATGTCAGTGTTTTTGTTTTGTTTTGTTTACAAGATAGTATTAATTGTTTCTATGAGTATCTGAATTCTGGGTCCAGTCCTTCAACCTCTCTGACAGGTATACTACTGGTAATTTGAACACTAAACAGGATAAAGGGAGATCAAAGACTAGTTCACACCTGAGGCTGTACATCCATAGCTTCTGATTGTCACAACTGCAGTTTAAAAAGTTCACCTAAACAATATTTACCTGTGTTAACTCTCAGTGGCATTTTATCATACTGTAAAAAAATCTGTTGAAAGTTGCAAAGATTTGTCATCATGGAGCTAAAACAGTCTTGTGAATTGAAAATTAAAATCTCAAATTGTTATTTCACTTTGAGTTTATTAAGACTGATGAACATGTATCAGTACAATATAGGAAGATGTTTTGTTTAAATAAATGTATTTTGTTTCAGTTATATTTTATGGATGTTCAATTTTTGTCCATTCACAAATAAAATTAAATAAGAAAGAGCATCCACATCTAATTAAACTCCCTCAATCCTTGTTATTCTACACTTTGTAAACTCAGCATGTCAGGCAAAATATAATGAATAGATGCCATATAAATAGATCATTTGAATGAACTGTCTAAAATATAATTTTAAAGAGTTTTTTAGTTTTTTTAGCAAGCATTTTTTTTCTCTCAGCCGAGAAATGCCAATATTCAAATACTATTTGAGGTTTCCTCTTTAAAATGACATCAAACTTTTCTCACTAGAAAAACCTAAAAATAGGATTCAGACTAAATATGAATGTATCATTGAGATTAACAACAAGTCATGTCTTTGGAACTGCTCATGATATTAGGATGATCCAGGTCAAATGTACAGGGATTAGACAATGAAACTGAAACACCTGTCATTTCAGTGTGGGAGGTTTCATGGCTAAATTGGACCAGCCTGGTGGCCAATCTTCATTAATTGCACATTGCACCAGTAAGACCAGAGTGTGAAGATACAATTAGCAGGGTAAGAACACTGTTTTACTCAAAATATTGCAATGCACACAACATTATGTGTGACATACCAGAGTTCAAAAGAGGACAAACTGTTGGTGCACGTCTTGCTGGTGCATCTGTGACCAAGACAGCAAGTGTTTGTGATGAATCAAGAGTCACATTATCCAGGGGAATGTCAGCATACCACCAAGAAGAACCAACCACATCCAACAGGATTAACTGTGGACACAAGAGGAAGCTGTCTGAAAGAATGTTATGGTCTAAAACCAGGTGTTTCAGTTTCATTGTCTAACTCGTGTAGCTTAAAAGCCAGAAATCTAAACATACGTTTAGGTCATTTTGATCAAATTCGACTTAATCCTCGGTTTAATGTGATAAGTCACATATAGTTTGAAGCTTTTCTTGTTTATACATTGAAAATGTGTGAAATAAATGACATCCCTTCTTTACATGTTTGTGTGTTGTTTTTGCAGGCAGAGGCTTCCAGCCAAAAACGTCTACTACTACCGATGCCCAGACCACAGACGCAACTATGTCATGTCTTTTGCCTTTTGCTTCGACCGAGAGGACGACGTATACCAGTTTGCCTACTGCTATCCCTACACCTACACCCGACTGCAGCATTACCTCGCCAGCTTGGAGCGGAGAAACCTTCCCTACCTCCAGAGGGAGCAGCTTGGGCTTAGTGTGGTAAGTCCCAGGATGGAAAGTGACACAAACAAGTCTGGGGGGGGG